CAGCAACGCTATCATCATCATCTTGGTCTCGTTCCGCGTCCTCCGTCCTCCCTCGCCTCCTCCGACTCCCCCTTCTCCGCCTCCCTCGCCTCCCTCGCCACCTTCGCCTCCTTCGCCTCCCCCTCCTCCTCCTCCTCCTCCTCTTGATTATCCTCCTCGTCTCCTCCTCCAGCGCCTCCTTCGTATCCTCTTCCTCCATCTCCTCCTCTTCCTCCTCCGACTCCTCCTTCACCTCCGTATCTTTCTTCTCTGCCTCCTCCTCATCTTCTTCCTCTTATTCATCCTCTTCTTCTTCCTCCTCCTCCTCTGCCTCCTCCTCATCCTCCTTCTCCTCCTCCTGCTCGGCCCCATCCTCCTCCTCCCCCGACCCCCCGTTCTTCTCCGCCTCTTATCTTCGGTTCCTCCTCCTCTTTCTCCTCCTCCTCCTCATCCTCCTCCTCCTCCTTCTCCCCCTCCTCCTCGATCATCATCATCATCATCATCATCATCATCATCATCATCATCATCATCATCATCATCATCATCATCATCAGCAGCATCATCATCAACATCATCATCATCCACCTCCCCCTCCCCGTCAGCTTCCCTCTCTTCCTCTTCCGTCCTTCCGATCCTCCTCCTCCTCCTCCTCCTCCTCCTCCTCCTCTTCCTCCTGGTGCATGAGGAGGACGAACAAGAGGAGAGGGAGGGAGGAGAGCAACGGAGGAGGAGGAGGAGGAGGAGGAGGAAGTGGGTGCGCTTTCGGAAGCATCCAGGGGCTTCTACAGCATAGGGGGGGGCGGCCGGGACATTCGGGGGCAAAGCGGAAACACGTCGGACGCACCCGGGGATATGTCGGAGGCACTCCCAAGCTGTAGCAGCATCCGGCTGCCTCCGAAAGCTTCCTACTCCCTCCTCCTGGTCCTCCTCCTTCTCCTACTGCTGCTGCTGCTGCTCCTCCTCCTCCTCCTCGACCTCTTCCTCCTCCTCGTACTCCTGCTCATGCTTCTCCTCCTCCTCCTCCTCCTCCTCCTCCTCCTCCTCCTCCTCCTCCTATTATTCGTCTCTTCTCCCCCCTCCCTCTCTCCGCTCTCCCTCTTTCCGCCCTCGCTCCTTCCTCCCCTCCGACCCCCCTTCCCCTTCCCGGTCTCCATCCCCACTCCCGTCCCTATCCCCATCGCCTCAAAAACCCTCCTCGTCTCCTCCTCCTTCTCCTCCTATCCCTGCCTGTCCTCATCCCTCATCCTCCAACTCTTCCTCCCCTCCCTCCTACTTTTCCCACTCCCCCTCCTTTTCCTTGTCCTTCTCCTTCTCCTTCTCCTCCTCACCATTTCTCTTCCTCCTCCGGCCTCTTCCTCCTGCACCTGCTCCAATTCATCCTGTTCTTCATCCTTCTTCGCATCGTCATCTCCCGTATGCAAATCCTGCTCCTCCTCCTCCTCCTTCTCCTCCTCTTCCTCCTCGTGCTCCTATTGCGCCTGCTCCTCCTCCCCTCCCCTCCCCTCTTTTTTTTGTTGTTCTCTCGCTCTCTCTCTCTCTCTCACTCTCTCTCTCTCTCTCTCTCTCTCTCTTTCGCAGCAGCAGCAGCACCATCGGGCGCCACCCAAAACGCCCCCGCGCCCGTCGCGCGCCCCCGGGGCGCGACGGCGACGCGGCGGCGGACCCGTTTCGGAGGAGGGGGGGAGAGAGGGAGAGGACGGCCACGTACACTCCACTCTGAGACCTCGGAAAAGGGGGAGGAGGGGAGGTGGGTAGAGCGGCGAGGCCACTCAACCGTAGATGCGGGACAGACCAGACTGTAGATGTAGCACTTTGCCGGTAGCGTAGTACACGGAGTAGGGTGTCGGTAATGTACACGACGTCTGTGATAATGCCTGCAGCGCTAACTTTGTAGACGCAATACCTTGTGTGCAAGATGTTCATATGTACTATTGTCCGTAGCCCTGCGGTTGTTCAAAATGTGCCCTGGCTTCAGGCAGGCCGTCTCGCCATGACTCCCCGGTGTTGTCGCTTGCCAGGTCGCTGCACTAAGCGTTCTACCTGTCTTCGTTTGAGAAGGTGTTGTGGTTTTCGTTGCTTCCGTCGTGCTCCACGTCGCTCTCGATGTCCTCGTCGTCCCATTCGTCTTCCTTTTATCGTCGTAGAAAATCTGCGGCGAGGATAAGCATGGCTCGCTGGCCTAAAGGTATTATGTTCCAGTGCGCCTTGCAGTGGTCGCGGGCGGACAAGATCGCCCCGATGGCGCCTGAGGGGCCCCGCGCGCGGACCGTCGCGTCCCCGTCCACGTAATGGCGGCCAACGCTCGCCTCTATCGGCCCCATCAAGTCGTGGGGCTTGTTGCACGCGGGGTTCATGAGTTCGTATATGGACGCGATGGTGAAGGCAACTGTGATTGCCTGCCCTTCGTTGATCGTGGCCCCGAGGCAGTCCAAGCCCTGGAACGTGGCGCACATGATGAAGATGGGCTCGTCCTGCTCGTCCCCCTTCTCGTCCTCCTCTAGTGTCCCCCGTAGCTCCGCCGGTGGCTCTCGGAGTCCTGCTCGCGGCCCTCGTAACTCGGCTTGTTGCCCCCGTAGTCCCGCTTGTGGTCCTCGTATTTGTGTCGGGGGCTCTAGAGGCTCCGCTCGGGGTCATTGTGGTTCAGCTGGTGGTGCTGGTAGCTCTGATGGGAGCCCTTGCTGGTCAGGTCGTGTCCCGCGTAAGTCAGCTTGTGGCCTGTTCATCCTTCCTGGTGGCCATCGTAGTCCACCTGATGGTCCTCGTAGCCGGGCGTGTGGTCCTCGTAGCCCAGCTTCCCGATCTCGGAGCTCAGCTTGTGGCCCTCGCAGCCCTGCAGGTCGCTCTGGAAGCTCTGCTGGTGGCGCTGGTAGCCCCGCTGGTGGCTCCCGTAGACTTGCGTGCGGCCTACGTAGCTCAGCATGTGTTCCTCGTAGCTGAACTGGTGGCTCTCGCAGCTCGGCAAGTGGTCCCTGTACCTCAACGGGTGGCTGTCGTAGCTGTGCGCGCGGCCATCGTAGCTCAACGTGTGGTCCTCCTAGCTCGGTTGGTGGCTCTTGGAGTCCTGATCGCGACCCTCGTAGCTCGGCTTGTTGCCAACGTAATCCAGTTGGTGGCTCTGGTAGCAATGTCGGGGGCTCTCGAGGCTCTGGCTGTAGACCGTGTAACTCAGTTCGTGGCGTTGGGAGCTTTGCTGGAAGCCCTGGCTGCTCAGCTCGTGTCCCGCGTAACTCAGCTTGTGGCCTTTGTAGCCTTGTTGGTGGCCCTTGTAAACCAGCTGGTGGCCCTCGTAGCCCAGCTTGCGGACCTCGAAGCTCAGCTGGCTTGCTGTCCTGCTGGTAGCTCTGGTAGCTGAGCTGGTGGCGTTGGTAGCGCAACGGGTGGCTCTCGTAACTCTGCAGATGGTCCTCGTAGCACAGCTGGTGGTCCTCGTACATCCGCAGGTGGTCCACGTAACTGAGCTGGTGGTTCTCGTGGCACGGCAGCTGGTAGCCGAGCTGGTTGCACTCTTAACTCTGCGCGCGGTCCCCGTAGCCCAGCTGGTGGCTTTTGAAACTCAGCGGGTGGCCCGCAAGGCTCTGCGCGTTGCCTCGGAAATTCGGCAAGTAGTCCTTTTGGTGGCCCTTGTACGTCTTTGGTGGTCCCCTGAGCATTGCTGTCCTTCTGAACCTCCCGGGCCCCCTGTTTTTTGGGCCTCCTGGGCCTTCCACCACTGATCCCCAGCGGCGTAGTTGCACAGGAAGTTTCTGGTAGAAATTGTAATCCTGGTGGTCATCGCAGCACTAGTAGTCGCATCGGTTCTGGGTGCCGCTGTAGCTGGCCACGCTGGCCCCGGCACCTGAAAAGCGAAACGCCAGGTCGCCCCAGTACTCACCTTTCTCGCCTGGAGGGACAATCGTAGTTCGGCTCGGCTTAAACTGGCCGCGGCTGGGTTCAAGCCGCCGCTTTTTCTGTCGCGCTTGTAGTCGATCTTGTTGGCGCGTTTGGTTTCGTATTTGTTAGAGGTTCTCGCACTAGGGCCGTACAGATGTCCAGCTGGCAGTTCGACGACTCCTCGATGATCACCCTCTCACCGCGGCTCCTCCGCATGCGGACGACCACCCCCTCGCAGATGTTCGCCTCCTCGTGGAGCGCGCGCCGCCGATCGCAGCTGGCGCGCTGAGGCCTGCCCCCCCCGAGGGCGCGCGCGCACGGCCTGGCGCGGCGCCCAGGGGCGAGCGCGGGGGATTGATTTGCCGCAAATGGCCTTCCTCTCCTGTCCCTTCCGACCCCCCCCCCCTGTACTCCAATTCATCCATCCACCGTCCTCTGTCCCTCTTTCTCCCTCCCTCCCTCCCAGGACCCTGCTGATGAGGACAGATCTTCGAATGCCGCCCCCAAGGCATGGCTATTAGGATCCCCAGGTCGCCAACTTGTCTCTCGACCGATGTTCAACTGCGCAGCGCGTCATCCGACATATGACATACACGCGCCCCTTGCGTACGGAGCGTCCCCAATGCAAAACTGCTTGTGGCCCGCAGCTAGCACCATCTTCTCTGGCGTCCCAATGCTGATTGCAAACGTGCCCAAACCGTCCTCCTTTTTGGCTTCGGCCTCTTTCCCTTGGTCCAGGGGTACAATACATGGCACAAGCAAGGAACGAAACTAATAGCGAGATAAAGAAAGAGAGAGAGAGAGAGCGATAGAGAGAGAACGAGAGAGAGAGAGAGAAGAGAGACAACACCAACAACGTGCATGCACCTGTGTGTACTACATATATATAGATATATGTATATGCATATCGATTTACATATGTGAACATACACCTATATATATGTATATAAATATATACCGCAGAAGAAAGACATGCGATACGCAAATGTAAACACATAAGCACTGTAATGGAATATGCACGCGACACTGACAATTGAGCTTTCACATCAAAACGCCTTTGGTATGCATCCAGTACGGTATCCTCTGGAATTGGCAACCTGCTTGTGGTATTAAGTTCGCGTTGGGGGAACCACCCCATATCAAAGGTGGGGTGGGTGGGTCCCCCGAATATTTAACGCATCTCCGGAATTCCCACCGCCTCTTTCAGAGCCTCCAGAATGCACAATATACCTTCAAAGACGGCTCCACAAAAGGATTCCGAAATGCCCATAAGGCCTCAAACATGACTCGAGATGTCCCAAGGGCACCCAATAGTGCTGCAAGGCCTCCCAGGCGGGAGCGCTGCTTAAAAAAGTCACCCACGTGATTACGCCAGGAATGGACAAGACTCTGGGTTCTCGAACATTTTGGCCAATTTGTGGAAGCCTAGACGGAGGCACTTGCGAAGAAAACGCTGGAGGTGGAGGAGCTGGAGGTGGAGCCGGGCCGTAGCTCGGCCAGAAGTGGGGCTGCACATGGAGCTGGGGTTTGGGCTCGAGTTGAGGCTGGTGCTGCTGCTGGAGGTGGAGCTGGAGCTGAAGGGACGCTGGAGCTGGGTTGGAGCTGGACGTGAAGCTGAGCTGGCGATCGGATTATGGGGCTGAAACTGGATTAGAGCTGAAGCTGGAGCTGGTGCTGGAGCTGGGGCTTGAGCTGACGCTGGAGCTGGTGCTGGAGCTGGGGCTGGTGCGAAGCTGGAGCTGCAGCTGGGGCTGGAGCGCAGCTAGAGCTGGGGCTGGAGCTGAAGCAAGAGGAAAAGCTGGAGCTGGGGCTGTAGCGAAGCTGAAGCTAGGCAAGAACTAGTTTGCAGCTTGAGCAGGAGCTAAGCTGGGTCGGGGACGTAGAGCATGGAGAACACCACGCACTAGAGGGTTGGCTTGCGACGCTCAAAATCAGGCCCGGGAGTGGAGTCCTGGCATCATGGGGCACGCCAAACACTGGGGAATGGCGCCACGCGCGGATTGTCAGGCCCACAAGCTAAATTCTGGCAATCCGAAGAACACCAAACGCTAAAGTGTGTTCAGAATCCGCGAGGAGCTAGGCTGTAAAAGCGCGCACACATGAAACAAGTCCGATAGAGGATATTTGGCAACCAGAAGATGCGACCCGAGGTAAATGCTGCACCTGGATGGTCAGAATCCAGCCTGGGAGTGGAACTCTGGCAACACGATGGTGCGATAGGTCGTGAGGGTTGCATCTCTGGAATATCAGGCCTGGGCCCGAGGATCAGAGCGAGGGCCCAGTACCGTCCGCCGGCCTGGCCCGAAAGCAGGGGGCAGGATTCCTCTGGACCCACCCCGGTCAGGACAATGTGGTTCGCCATCGGGCATGGTGGGGTCAAGCCTGCTCGGGGCTGCCTGCTCGGGCCTGCGGAAGCCTGCCGGGGCCTGCTCGGGTCCGCCCGAGTCTGCTCAGGCCCGCTGGGGCCTCGATCAGCAAGCCTGCTCGAGCCTGCTCGGCCTGCTCCAATCTGCTCAGTTGTTGCTCGAAGAGATAAGCCCCCGACCCAGCTCGCCCGCCGTGCTCCCTGGAGATGTCCCCCCTCGCCCGCCCTGCACACCGCGGCCGCCAGGCCCGAGAGATCGCAGGGAGTCCAATGACGACGTGCTGGTCGGGCGTATCTCGCCATCGCTCGGACGTCCAGTCCCCGTTCATTGTTCGATGTTCTGCGCATTTCTTCGCAGTGTGATCCAACATGTTCGTCGATGGCCCTCACCGAACAGGCGATGCTGCGATGTAGAGCAGACGTAGCTAACAGGCAATCCCACCAGGACGGTCACGGCGTCACGCTGTCCAGGCGTCATGACACAGATGTAGACCATACATCAAGAGCGTACATCAATAATAGACAATAAAGCCAGGCATCGACGACATACAGTAGTGCTATCCATTACAGGCATCAGGAAGAGGCACGACACCAGGAACAACCATGAAGAACATACACGAATAATAAAAAACAGCTGCATGTACCAGAAATGCAGCACGAACACTATAGAAGAAGAGACCGAGAGCAGGCACCAACAACCAACAGCAATAGCACACCTCATACATAGGTATCAAACGCGTACATCAAGAATCAACTTCGAGAACTCACCGCAATGAGACACAACAATCCGATGGCCCCCTTCTTGGGCCAACAGGCTGCGAGGCCGATGTGTCCTTTCTCCCTGCAACATATCACGTTCCAATGTTGTACCTGCAGACTCCTACTTTCTAACCCCAGCGCTGTGATGACTGAAGACCGCGCGGAGACCCCAAGCCGAAAACAGGCCGGTCCCCTCCGCAGAACCACGTCCTCGACATTATGTTTGGCTCTGGGACACATTCCCGACGCCACAACCCTCCGTAACTCACACCGCATTGGCGCTCCACAGGTTACAATTCCCTGCAAATTGCCGCGGACCCGTGCTCCAAATATACAATTCCTACACGCCTGCACTAAACAATTACAGGTTTGCGCTCCCGAGGCCGCGCCCACTTGCAAACCGCAACCAGTCTGCGTCCCTGCTGCCACAACCTCCCACTACTTGCATTCAATTCTTGTTCCCGAAAACTGCGCCCCTGGTTTAGCATTACACATGCGCGGTCCTAAGGCGACAGCCTCTTTCAAAATACGACAATCATGCATCCCCAACGTCACAATCCCTTCTAAATACCACCGCAATCACTTTCGCGAGCCCGACGCTACAACCCCTCGCAACAACAACAACAAGTTGGGTGTCCGAAGGCCTGGAGCCACACCCCTTAGTAAATGATCAAATTACTGCACGCTCGCGTTCCCGAGGTCACAATCAATCGTAAAGCCCACCAGCCCCTTGGGCGCAACATTAGGTGGTTTAGGAAACCTGTTCTTCCGACCTCATCCTTCCCCTCCGGGGGGAGGTTTACCTCTGCCCCAATCGCCCTCTCAATGGGTCTGGAGGAGGCGCTCTGCGGGTCGATGCAGGGTCCAAGATAGCCCAAGAGGGCTTACACGATCACACAAGATAGCCCGAGATGGTTCAAGACAGCTTTCAGCATACCTCCCAGAGCTCAAAGACCGCCCCAAGATGGTTCCAAGTGGCCACAGAGCCTCCCAAGGACCCCACCGAGAGGCCAAACCCCCTCCAACACCGAAGGGCCGTCAATGTGTTTTTGTATCACCATTTCGCTTCAGATGGGCTCGCGGGGCCTCAAGATGCCCCAAATATGGCCCGAGAGAATTTCAAGAGGGGCCCAGGGGGGGCAAAGACGCCCCCAAGAGTGCCACACAGACGTGTGGTATGCATCCGAGGGGGGCGTAATTCAGACCCCCCCCATCTTTGGTCGCTGGCCTCAGAGGTGGCACCAAGAGAGACCCAGGAGGGCCCCAAGCGAGCCCCAAAGTCCGTCAAACTGGTCCCAAGCGGGCCTCCAAGATGACTCCACTCGGGCCCGACGATGGCCCCAAGATGCCTCCAATAGGCGCCCAAAACGTGACTGCATGCTGTCAGACATCCCTGATCAGGGCAGCCCGCCTAATAATCATTCCCCACCATCCTATAATAATGGGTCGCCGTTTTGAAGAGACAGCGCCCCGCGTTCCTCCCCCCCCTCCGCCTCCCGCTCCCTCCTCCCCCTCTGTACTTCAGTTCCACATCAGTCTGACAAGTCGGTACACCCCGTAGACGCTTCGTGGCCCCCCCGGGAGCTCCTCCGAAAGCCCCAGTGTAAGGGTTCGCATGCGTCCCCCCGCACAACATCGGAACACCCCTCACACGCTTCGTGGCCCCACAAGCTCTCGTGGTCTACAAAGCGCAGGTTCCGCCCAACTGCGGGATCTGCTCGAACGACGGCGTTGCGTGCACCTTCTTCAGGATCTTGGCCGCGGTGCTTGCTGTCCCTGGACTCCAGGACCTGGTTGTCATGGTCGGCGCTGGCCTTCACGCTGTGCTGCCAACTGTTATATCAGCTTCCTTGCCCAGATCGGGTTTTGTGACCTCGCCCTGGCAGGTCGTGCCCTCGAGGGTATGGATGTTGGTTGGCACGTTGTTGACAGCGTCCAGGAGAGGTGGACACCCGAGGGACTTTGGGTTTCTGCTTCATCGATTTCGGCACTGCCGACGGAAATGCCGTGGCCGGTCTCTGCCGCACCAGCTTGCTGGCGGTGGAGTTGTGAGCGGCGAAGAGGGCCTGCAGTTCCCACGATTCTGCACCTCCCGCCTCGAGCCCATTCGCAAAGGCCGCGACCGATTGACCAAGACCTTCGCACAGGATATGCTGCGGCAGCAGGAACCAGAGTCTCATCTGTCTCCTAGATCTGGCCTTTGCGAGGAGTAGCTGGCGCAACGTCGCGTTGTACTTTTGCTACCCCGTCTTGCGCCACGAGCTTCTGGGCGAACTTGCAGTGGCAGCCCTCACGCCGCAGCCCTCACCGGACCCCAAAGCGCCAGGAGTGGCTTACTCAAGGCAGACATAATTATTGAGGCCCTGGCTTGGGTGGAGGGGGGGGTGGAGGGGGGGGTGGAGGAGGAGGGGAAGAAGTTGGGGGGCAGGGGGAGAATGAGGATGGCTGGGAGGAGGAAGACGGTGGATGAGCAAAGAAAGAGGTGAGGGGGAGGGGGACGGGTGGAGGAGGAAAGAGGGGGTGGGAGGAGTAAGACGAGAAGGAAGCGTGCTGTTTGGACTGGAAGACGAGGTTGAGCCGGGAGGAAGAGACAAGCAGCAGAGAGAGGGGGGGGGAATGGCGGCAATGCCATCCAGCGTGTGAGATCCACCCGCGGTTCCTCCAAACCTCCCGAGGCGGGCCCGGGTCAAACACAACACCTCCTCGATTTGGTCCCTCTTCACAACGGGTGCACAAAACACTGGGGACCCGTGAGGAACGACCCCATGAGGAACGATGCCACCGGCGGAATCGAGATTGGGGGGTCGGGTTTGTCGCCCGGATCGCCCCGCTCGCACTGCTGGCCCAGGCAGCGGTGACGGATGTAGTCTCGATTGCCCTGGTCGCCCTGGCACCCATCACCACGCTGGCCCTGCTCGCCCCGAGCACCCCTCTACGGCAGCGGGGCTTCTGAGCCCTGGGCCCTCTTCGCCCTGCTCGCCCTTCTTGGCCCCCTCCGGGAGAACCGCGAGCGCGCGCTCCTGGACCTGGGCAGTGTGCGCGGAGCCGCGGAGAGGAGGGCACGGGCAGGGCCAGGGCGGAGGTGCGCGGATTATTGCCTGCGGGCAGCAGGGATTGTGCGGTGCGTCCCTCCGGCCCTTGCGGCGCTGAAGACGTACCGAGCATGGCTGTCCTTTGAGGAGCTCCAGGTCTCCCGACGTGCGCGAGAAGGCAGGAGGAGGAGGCGCAAGGAGGGAGGAGCGAGGGGGAGAAAGAGGGAGAGAGAGCAGCAGGGACGGTTGTTTTGTTGGGGCCAGCGCAAGGCATCGTGCTCAAGCTCCGAGCCCGCGGGCTCAGAAACTGAGCCTGGGATGGAGGCACGAGGGACCTGCTCCTGCTTTCCAATGGACTTCATCTCCTCCTGCAGCGCGTCCCACTTCTTAGAACCGAAGGGTCCCCCTCGAGGACGGCAGGCGGGTGAGAGCACGATGGCGCCAGTGGGCTTTCCCCGTTGAGCTCGGCTTCGATTCGCGAAATCCACACTACCCTATCATTTTCATCTCATCCACTCTCCCTCTGTCCGTCTCTCTCTCTCTCTCTCTTTCTCTCCATCTCTCCATCTCTCCATCTCTCTCTCTCTCTCTCTCTCCCTCTCTCCCTCTCTCTGTCCGTCTCTCTCTCTCTCTTTCCCTCTCTCTCGACTCCCCTATCTCTATTCCCCCCTCCTCTGCCCCGCTGTGATGTGTTCTGCTATCCTCCTTCATCTGGTACTGCTCTGGGTGCAGCGCTGGAAATGATCAGAGGTAATGCGGGATGACGATTCATAAAAAAATGGGAGGGAAGGATTTAAACATTGTTTTCTGCTATTTCTGCACAATTTTCTGACTGGTGGAGAACGATAAAAAAGTTTTCCAGCCCGCGGCCGGTTTTTTCTAATCGTCATCCCGGGCGCCGCCGCGTGAACACGACCCCCGGTCATTTATTAATCGTCATCCTCCATTAGCATATCGCTGCGATGGGCGCGTTGCGATGGGGGCGGTACCACAACCCCGCGTCGCAACAAAATGCGCGCGTGTGCGCGAGGCATCGCGCCACAAAAGAGTGTGTGCGCGTGCTGATATGCGACGAGGGTTCAGGGAGCTAGTGCCCCGGAATCACCAAGGCCCATGCACATGAACAGATGACCGCCGACGGAACGAGATCCCAGCAGCCTTCTGGGCGCAGTCTGCTCAGACCACTTCCTCTTCCAAACCCTCGCTTCCCCTCTGGGGGGGGGGGGTGCATCGCTGCCCTGTATTCTACACACACGCACACGCACACGCACACGCACACGCACACGCACACGCACACGCACACACACACGCACACGCACACGCACACGCACACGCACACGCACACACACACACACACACGCACAGGCACACACGCACACGCACACACACGTGCACACACACATACACACACAGACACACATACACACACAGGCACACACGCACACACGCACACACACACTCACACACGCGCGCACATCCTCCCCCACTCGAAAGGCTGACGACCAAGAACCGTACGCCCCCCCGCCATCCTCGTCAAAGAACGTCGTCAGCGAGCTCAGGCGCCAGGGCCGCCAGGAGCAGGGTCGGGGACGCACTGACCCGGGTCAACCCAAATCCGGGTCACCTGGGCCTTGCAAAATCCTGCAACACCCTGCAGCATCCTGCAAGACCCTGCAGGATTCAACATTTTTACCCGGGTCAGTGCGCCCCTGGCCCTGCAGGATCCTGCAAGATTCAGCGCTATGGCTGACCCCCGTTTGCATTGACCACCGCCTCTTGAGCCCCGACTGGAAACGGCGTCACAGCCGAAGGATGCAGAGAGCAGGGGCCCTGCGTTTCTTTCCTCTCCCTGTCGCCTCTCGTCGTTCGTGTCCCTTTCGTCCCCCCCTCTGTGTTCCTTTCTTCGCCGTCGTTGTCCATTTCCTTTCCTCTTCGTATTCGTGTTCGTTTTCGTCCTCGTCGTCGCTGTCCCCCCTCTTCGTGTTCGCGTCCCTTTCCTTCCCTCTTCTTCCTGTCCCTTTCGTTCGCCCCCTCTGTGTTCGTGTCCTCGTCGTCGCTGTCCGCCGAGCTTCGTCAAAGAGCGTGTCAGCGTGCACGTGGCGGCGACACCTGGATCGTGAGCGGGCCCTCCGCGAGCACTGTGCACGTGCTTCGACACGCGCGGCAGGGTGGGGCGCTCCGCGTGAAACGCCGACGGCGGGGTCGCTGGCGGGGGACACGACGCGAACCTACCATACTCAACAGAGCAGGGAGGGGAGGAGGAGGGGAGGGGAGGAGGAGGGGAGGGGAGGAGGGGAGGGGAGGGCGGGAGGAGGGGAGGGGAGGAGGAAGGGAGGGAGAAGGAAGGAAGAAGGGATGGGAGGGAGAGGGGAGGGGGATCCACTCCGACTGCGGGTGCGCACGCACAGCACGCGCACACCGTGACGCCGTGCTGCCCACCCCGCCGCCGCTCCGCAACGACTCCTTGGCAGGGCCCGTGGGGGGGGCCGGCAGGTGGCCCGACGTGTGCCGTCGGGTGTGCTGGCGCCCCTGAGGCGCAGCCTGCGCGCATCGCGCACGCGGCAGAAGTCGGCCGATGCGTCGACCCTCCCGATGCTTTTTGTGATCGCAGGCCCAGAGGTGGACACCAACACCAAGATCGGCGGTGTGCCTCCACCGATGGAAGACGATCCCGATCTCGGTGATGGTGGTAATACTCTGGCTTCCAAGGTGGCCGAAATATTACCACCAACACCGAGATCTAGGAGCATCTTCCCCATGTGGTGGCAACCCCCTGTGCTGGTGCTGGTGCTAATGTCCAGGCCTCCAATGTTAAGAAACAAACTGAAACATCTGGATGCAGTTGGTAAGGTATCGCTTCAGCCTTGGCCGCATTTCAGGGTGGGTGCGCCGCCTGCGTCGTTCGGAAGGGCACTATCGCCCCAGCCCGAGCAGCATTTCCGGATCCGATTCCTTCCTCGTCGCCCTGCCACCACGGCCAAGAGGTGCGGCCTGGTGGCGGGGAGAACCCAATGGCACCTCCTAGTCTGAGGTGAACCGCCGTTGACATTCACGGAGGCGGGGCCCGCGCTTGTAAGCTCTTGGTTGCAGTGCTCTCTGCCGCGGGCAAACTGCTGCAGTGCTAAATGGTGGCGCGGGTGTTGGGCAACGCTCCAGTGTTTTTGGCCAGTTTGGGTGCCGATCCCGAGCCCCCACGCGCCAGTTTGGCGCGGGGTGTAGGGCGGTCCTTGGTTTGCCTTCTTGTTCTTGGTTTCCTCCCTAAGGCATCGCGCTGCTGGCGCATCTGGGAGTTAGTTCGGGGAAGGAAGCCGGAGGCCAGGTTCCAGTTTGTGCCCGTGACCCCCTTTCTGAACGATTGTCTTTGGTGTTGGCCGTTGGCCACGTTTGGCCAGTGGCCAGGGCACGTTGGCTTGCGCTCGTTGAGCGCCACGGTTTTGTTCTGCATTTCGGGCCTTGCAACAACTTTTCCTCCTCGTCCTCACCCTCCTCCTCCTCCTCCTCCTCCTCCTCCTCCTCCTCCTCCTCCTTCTCAGTCTCCTCTCCTTTTGTGCAGCCGTTTCGGGGCGAGGCAGGTGCTCGCTCTTGCGGGAGCAAACTTCGGAGCGGCGTGCCCCCGCGGGCCGATGGCGAATGGCGTTGCAGGTGGCACGCGCGGAGCCAGCCAGGGTGGCGACCCCTGGACGTGTCGTGCGTGCGCTGCTGGCTACAGCAACATGGCCTGGCGCACGGAGTGCAGGCTCTGCAAGGCGGCGCGGCCGCCGCGCGGCGCTGGCACGATCGGCGAGGCCATCGACAAGGCCAAGGCGAAGGCCAAGGCCAAGGGGAAGGCGAAGGCCGAGGCGAAGCGCGTGCGCTTTGCCTCGGATGTGCCTGGCCCTGCCGCCGCCGCGGCCGTGCCGGCGCCGTGGGCGCTGGGCGCGGCCAAGCAGGCGGCTGAGGAGCAGCCCAGCGGCAGCGGCGGCAAGGACGAGGAGGTTCGCCAGGCCCTCCTCCGCCACTTTGGCCCCAGGGAAGGCTGGTCGGCGGCCCTGGTCCAGGACTTCGGGGCCTTGGTGCCTGTGGTTGACGCGCCGCCGCCTGCGAAGCCCTTAGCCGAGCTGTCGCTCCAGGCCCTCCTGGCCAGGGAGGCGAAGATTAAGGGCCAGGTCGGGCGCGCGGAGATCGCGCTGGCGGCCGTCAAGGAGGAGCAGGAGGCCGTCGCGGTCCGCGTGGCGGAGCAGGCTGAGGTCCTCCGGAAGCGGCGCGACCAGCTGGAGGAGGTGGCCGAGGCTGTGCGTGCCAAGAAGCGCGCCGACCTGGCGCAGCACACGGGGCCGTCGCCCATGGAGGAGGGCGAGCCTGAGGAGACCGTGGGCTGCCTGGGCAAGGCGCTGCTCAAGGGCCTCGAGGGCCTCGAGGCTGAGCGGGAGCGGGTTCTCTTGCTCGGGGAGGAGGGCGGCGCCCTGCTCGCGATGGCCGCCGAGGCCCGCAGCCTCGTGGAGAAGCTCGCCGCCGCTGACGCCCGTGCTCGCGAGGCAGCGGCGGCCGAGCGGGCCCGCGCGACTGCAGCCGCAGCTGAGCGGGCCGCCGCGGCGCAGGAGGCCGCTCCGGAGGCCGATGGCGGTGATGATGGCGCTGCTGGTTCTCCTGGGGACCGTAAGCGCGTCGGCGACCTCGACCTCGGCCCCGAGCTCGTCGGGCTTGACGCCGTGTTCGACGAGCTGGGCATGGAGGACGAGCAGCAGCGCGCTGCCTGGCGCGCAGCGCTGGCCAAGCGCCAGCGGGTGGCAGGCCCCGCCCCAGGGTAGCCGCCCGCTGGCGGCGGACGTGGTGGAGCTGGTGACGGCCAACACCACCGCGTGGGGCTCGGCGCAGTCGCTGGTCGCGTGGCTGCACGACGAGGTGGGGCGGCTGCCTGCGGTGATCTGCCTCCAGGAGCACCGCCTCAAGGGCAAGCAGGCGGTGGCCCGCGCTGCGGGCTGGATGCAGGCGCGCGGCTTCAGCTGGCACGGCCAGGCAGCACTGCCGACGGGCCCAGGGCCGCTGGAGAGCTCGGGAGGAGTGGCAGTGGCCACTCTGCGGCCGTCGGCGACCGCCGCCGCGCCTGGGCCCCCTGCCCATCGGTTCCAGGTGTGCGAGGTGAACCTGGGGTTCAGGGAGCCGTGCCGCGTCATCTCGGCCTACTTCATCACGAAGTTAGGCAGGGCGAAGGAGAACATCGGGCTCCTGGCGGCACTGCGCGAGTCCGTGGGGCAGCTGGAGTCGCCGTGGACCGTGATGGGTGACTGGAACATGGAGCCCGAGGGCGTCCGTGAGTGGGCGCGCAGCGCTGGCGGTGCGCTCGTCGCCCCAGAGGAGCCGACCTGCGGCTCGAAGGTCTTCGACTTCGCGGTCGTCAGCAAGGTCCTCGCGGGCTTTGTGGATGAG